GGAACTGGAGAGCATTATGCTAAGTGAAATACGCCACTCAGAGAAAGATAAATATCACATGATCTCACTCATATGTGGGATATAATGATCAACATAATTTGATGAGCAAAAATAATCAGAGATAAATGGCAGGGGAGGTGGGGGTTGGGGGTTAGAGAGCAACCAAAGTACTTTTGGCATGAATATTAGCATAACCAATTGACACAAACACTGGGGTGGTGGTGGCTTGCCCGGGGTGGGAATGGTTGGGGTGGGGGGGTGTCAATTGAGGAAAAAAGGAGACATGTGTAAAACTTAAGACAATAATGAATAAAAATAAAAATTTTTAAGAAAATGTCGAAAGAATCGGAATAGATACTTCTCCAAAGAGAACTTACAGATGGCCAATAGACATATGAAAAAAAATGCTCAGTGTCACTAATCATCAGAGAGATGCACATTAAAAACTACAACAAAGTGTCATCCTACACCTGCCAGGTGGCTACCGTCAATAAAGCAACAAACAACAAGTGCTGGCGAGGATGTGGAGAAAAGGAAACCCTCGTGTACTGCTGGTGGGAATGCAGACTGGTGCAGCCATTATAGAAAACACTGTGGACTTTCCTTAAAAAATTAAATATGGAACTGCCATTTGACCCAGCAATTCCACTTCCAGGAATATAGCCTAAGAAACTCGAAACACCAATCAGAAAGAATGTATGCACCCTTATTTTCATAGCAGCACAATTTATAAAAGCTAAGGTCTGGAAACAGCCCAAGTGCCCATCAGTAGAGGAGTGGATAAAAAAGCTGTGGTACATTTACACCATGGAATACTATGCAGCAATAAAAAATAAGGACCTCTTATCCTTTGCAACAGCACGGAGGGACCTGGAGAGCATTATGCTAAGTGAAATACCCTTCCCTCACTTCACACTTGCCAGAATGGCTACCATCAATAAATCAACAAACAAAAAGTGTTGGAGAGGATGTTGAGAAAAGGACACTAGTTCACTGCTGGTGGGAATGTAGACTGGTGCAGCCATTATGGAAAACAGTATGGAGTTTCCTCAAAAAATAAAAAATGAACTACCCATTCATCCACTAATGGGCACTTTGGCTATTTCCAAATCTTAGCTACTGTAAATAAAGCTGCTATAAACATAGGGGTGCTTATATTGTTTCTGATTGGTGTTTTGGGTTTTTTAGGATGTATTTCCAGAAGTGGATTTGCTGGGTCAAACAGGAGTTCCATTTTTAATTTTTAAAAAAGTGATCAACAAAGTAAGACTCAAAGCATCGAGGCATGGAACAGACAGACATACCTCAATGTGGGGGTGAGGGGATGAGGAGAAATTAAACCAAAAAACTTATCTACTGTGATCTTCATAGCCCATGGACACAGGGAATAGGGTGGTGAAGACCTGGGAGTTGGGTAGGGGCTGGGTAGAGGTGGGTCAAGGAGGTGAATGAGAGATAACTATAATACTGTAAATAATTAAAAATCATATATATTCTTAAAAAACTGGAACTATTGTTTGACCCAGTAATACCACTTCTAGGAATATATCCTAATAATAATCCCAAAACACCAATCAGAAAGAGTATATGCACCCCTATATTCATAGCAGTGTTGTTTACAATAGTTAAGATCTGGAAACAGCCCAGGGACCCATCAGTAGATGAGTGGTGGTACATTTACACCATGGAATACTACGCAGCTGTAAAAAATAAGTATTTCTTATCCACTGAGACAGCATGGAGGGATCTGGAGAGTATTATACTGAGTGAAATAAGCTGGTTAGAGAAAGACAAATAAATATCACATGATCTCACTTATAAGTGGAATCTAATTATCATAAGAAACTGATGAACAAAATAGGTCCAGAGGCATGGGAACACAGAACAGACTGTCTAATCTCAGAGGGAAGGTGGGGGTGGGTGGGTGGGAAGAGATTAACCAAAGAATGTGTATGCATATATGCATCACCCACGGACACAGAGAATAGGATGGTGAAGGCTGGAGTTGGCTAGGTGCTGGGAAGAGGGTGGTAAGGGGGAGAAACTGAGGGACATCTGTAACACTGTCAATAAAATAAAATAATGTACAAATTAAATTAATTATGGAAACATGGTTAGGTCAAAATTTTAGTCATTTCTAGTTCAGACTCCAATTACAATTCTAACTTTTCCTATGATAACATCAATATTAATTGGTTTTTTTTCTTGACCAACATAGTAAGACATATGCATCAAGGCCCAAGTTCAAAATCTTTACACATTCTTAGCTGAAAATACAGAACTACATTAGCATAAATATTAACATATTTTTAAGAATCCATAACGATAATTAATTTATTGCAATGCAAATAGGATGAGGTTTGCCTTCAAAATGGTGTATAATTTTAGTGGTGGAAATTTTTTTAAGGTCATTATTACTCACTTATGAAAGACTTCTTCCATGGTAGTAACTGAAGCATCAAAGCTGGTAATGCCCAGCTCACTCTTTTTCTCTTTCAGATCATTAAACAGAGCTTCAAATCTGGAGGCAAGAAGAAAGAAAAAAAGCACTAGTCTAGATACATTTTATTTTCTAGTAAATAAAATATTTAAAAATATATATACATATAATGCAATACTACTCAGCCATAAGAAAAGATAAAATACTGGCATCTGTGACAATATGGATAGAATTTTTTTTTACAATTTTTTATTTATTGATGAGAGAGAGAGAGAGAGAGAGATCTTGAGAGAGAGAGAGAGAGAGAGAGAGAGAGAGAGATATCTTGATAATATCATGCTAAGGGAAATAAATCAGAAAAGGTTAAGAACATGATTTCACTCATATGTGAAATATAAAATTGAAAGCAACAAATGAGCAAACAAGATAAATATATAAACAGAAACTCATACACACAGACACCAGATTGGTGTTTACCAGAGGAAAGGAAAAAAAGAGGGCAGTAAAGTGGGTCAGATATATGGTGATGAAAGAAGACTGGGCTTTTGGTGATAGGTACACCATGCAAGATAAAGATGATGTATCATAGAATTATACACTTGAAAGCTATATAATTTTATTAATCTACATCACCCCAATTAATTTAATAAGAAACCTGAGCACTTACATTTTCTCTGTTTTATACTTAACTAGAGGCCTGGTGCACAAAAATTTGTGCACTGGGCGGGGGGGGAGAGTCCCTCAGTCCGGCCTGTGCCCTCTCGCAGTCTGGGACCCCCTCAGGGGATGTCCACCTGCTGGCTTAGGCCCGCTCCCTGGGGGATTGGGCCTAAGCTGGCAGTCAGACATCCCTCTGGCAGCCCGGCAGCCCTCGGGGGATGTCCACTTGCCAGTGGGGAGCAGGCCTAAGCTGCAGTCAGACATCCTTAACGCTGCTGAGGAGGCGGGAGAGGCTCTCACCACCACCACTGTACTGGCAGCCATCAGCCTGGCTTGTGGCTGAGCAGAGCTCCCCCTGTGGGAGCGCACTGCCCACCAGGGGGCAGCTCCTGCATTGAGCGTCTGGCCCCTGGTGGTCAGTGTGTGTCATAGTGACCAGTTATTCCCAGTCGTTCTGCTGTTAGGGTCAATTTGCATATTACCCTTTTATTATATAGGATTCCATTCCCAATTGTATTCTTTCCTAGTGTTTTCTTAAATTATTTTACTGAGGTAATAGATGTGAAACATTAAATTTACCATTTCATTATTTTAAGTATATAATTGAAGCAGCATTAAGCACATTGATAATGTTGTGAATCACTTCCAACTTCCAGAACTTTTTCACAATCCCAAAGTAAAACTCTACACCCATTACACAATAATTCCCTATTCCCCTTCCCTCAGCTTCACTTCTACTTTCTGTCTCTGTGGGTTTGCCTGCTCTGTGTGCACATATAAGTTGGGATTATACAATATTTGTCCTTTTGTGTCTGGCTTATTTCATTTAGCATAATTCTGTCCAGGTTCATCAATGTTGTAGCATGTGTCAGAATATTATTCCTTTTTAATAATGAATAATATTCATTGTATGGATATACATGTTGCTTACCCATTAATCCAAAGGACATTTGGGTTGTTTCCACCTTTTGGATTTTGTGAATAATGCTGCTATGAGCATTGGTGTACAAATATCTGTTAGAGTTTGTTTTCAATTACTTTGGGTATATACCTAGAAGGGGGATTGCTGGGTCATTTAGTAATTCTATGTTTAACTTTTTGAGGAATCTCCATACTGTTTTCCACAGCAGATACACTGTTTTATATCCCAGCGATAATGTACAGGGTTCCAATTTCTCCACATCCTTACCAACCTTTGCTATTTTTGTGTTTGTTTGTTTTTAATGTGCTTTTCCCTAATGAGTAGTGATGTTGAACATCTCATGTTCTTATTGGCAATCTGTACATCTTCTTTGGAGGAATGTCTATTCTAAGTCCTTTGCCCATTTTCAAGTTTTAGGCTTTTTTTAAAGATGAATTTTCAGTTTTGTTTTGTTCCATAATAATTTCTAGTTAGCCATGGAAAAATGTTTAGATTATTCTTCACTGTAATACTTATTGTGAAACAAATGAAAAAAAAGAGAGATTTTTACCTTAGCAAATGTCTCTATACTGTAACTTTGTCTTTGATATATATTCTTTTATTCTTCTAAAATTATAAATTTATTTTTGGAAGTGTTAATAAAATTTAATTTACTCACATGTGATTCCTACATCAAGTGAAAAAATTTGCAAAGTACAGGAGGTATGAATCATAATTGACAGAAAATACAGTTAGTGAAGCATTAGCTGGGCATTGGAGAGATTTCATCAAATAGGTAAATTGTATGAAGGTATTGCTAGTTGTAGTGCAGTTAAATCAAGATTCCATGACTAGTTTTACCAGGAAAAGTGAACACTGTTTTAGGTTGAAAAGGTCTCCAGAGACCCATCCACTCCTTAAACACACCTCCAATTCCTTGTAAGGAACTATCAAGTCTATGTGTGATTACCCTCAGAGATGGTAGACTCAAAACTCTTCAACTTCTAAATTTCACCCATATTTAAGGCTGAACACCATTTTCATCTAACCTCACCTAGCTATGACTCTTACTTCTACTTTTACCCCAGTTCAATCTAACCCCTCTTCCAATTATAGCTCTTCACATATTTTAAGGTCATTCCCATCTTTCTTTTTGAATCTTCTCAACAGAATCCCTATTCACCTATATTTAAGGGTCCATATATTCTGGTAAGGATTATTGAATAATAATAATAATAATAATAATAATATTCTTGTAATGTTTTTGACTGGTTTTAGTACCAGGGTAATACTGGCCTTATAAAACAAATTGGGAAATGTTCCGTTTTCTCTCATTTTCTAGAAAAGTTTATATAGAATTGCTACTTTTTCTTCTTTAAATGTTTAGTAGAATTCATCTGTGAAGTAATTTGGTCCTGGAGTTTTCTCTGTGGGGATGTCTTAAAGTACAAATTAAATGTCTTTAATAAATAGAGATTTTCAAATTAATTTCTTCTTGAGATAGTTTTGGTAATTTGTGTCTTTCCTGTTTTTCTTTCTGATTGGTATGACTGAAGTTTTACTAACCTCACTGGTCTTCTCAAAGAACCAACTTACAAATTTCAAGTTCATTTTGTTAGCCATATTTTATAGATTAGAATATAGGCATTGAGGTTATAAGTATTGATTCTAAGTCTCTCCCTCGTTTTTATGTAAATACACAGTTGGAAAACATTTAGAGTTGTGCCCAGCCCAAAGCAAATAAACAATTAATTAAGCTATCAAAGTCTTGAAAATAACCAAGAACTCTTTGCCATTTTATTCTTCTCTTACTATAGTGAATAATTCTGAGAATAAACAGGCTATGGACATTTTATTCAGGTTGCTTTTTTTCTCTTTCAACACTTGGTTTAAAATTAATTTCATTCTGAGTTCATATATTTTCCCCTAACTTCATGATTTACTTTTATGCTTACTAGGTCCACTGTCCATGGCCCAGAATCTCCACATTTAAACTGTTGACAATAAACTGTATGGCTAGTTATTCATTTCTCAGAAATTCTTTCTCTTTCTTCCTTCCATGTTCAAAGTATTTAGTGGGAGTACCGGATAAAAATATTACCTGTTTCTAAGTCCTTACATTTCCTATTTTGTACTTAATATAAATGCTGTATTTATTATTCTTTCTGATAATGCCATTTGTATACACATGATATAGGATGGACAGATGTGACACATTTAAGCAGCTTCTCTAACTTCTTTTAAAGCATTACTCAGAACCTCCAGATTTATAATTACCCAAAAACTGTCCTTGTTATTCTTACTCCAAGAGTTGCAATCGAAGCTACTTTCTTATTTCACCTCAATGTCTCCCTGGATCTTACCATACATAAAATTTTACTAGCCCTAACCGGCTTGGCTCAGGGATAGAGCATCAGCCTGCGGACTCAAGGGTCCCAGGTTCGATTCCGGTCAAGGGCATGTACGTTGGTTGCAGGCACATCCCCAGTAGGGGGTGTGCAGGAGACAGCTGATCGATATTTCTTTCTCATCAATGTTTCTAACTCTCTATCCCTCTCCCATCCTCTCTTTAAAAAATAAAAAAATATATTAAACAAAATTTGTTTACTATGAACATCTTATCATGAATTACTCTGGTGAACACTAGAAAGCTATCTACACTAATAAAAGACAAACATGCAAATTGACCGTACCTTCGCTACACCTTAAGCCACGCCCACCAGCCAATCAGAGCAACTATATGCAAATGAACCCAACCAAGATGGCGGCCGTGGCCATGGAGCTGGAGCGAGCAGGAGGCTTGGGTTGCTCCTGGTGATGGGGGAAGCAAAGCTTCCCTCCCGCCTTCCCTGGCTGGCTCTGAGCTCCACTCAAGGCTACAAAGTTTCAATTATAGAAGGTAAATAAATCCCAGAATAAAAAAAACAAAAGAAAAAGAGGAGAGGCTGGGAGCTTCTGTCGCCGGGGGGGGGGTGGGGCTTGGCCAGCCTGAAAACAGCCCTCAGCCCCTCACTCAGACTGGCCAGGCACCCCAGTGGGGACCCCCCACCCTAATGGGGGTGTGGCCAGCCTGAAAACAGCCATCAGCCCTTCACCCAGGCTGGCCAAACCTCCCTGGGGTGAGGGTCCCCACTGGGGGGGGCTTGACCAGCCTGCAAACAGCCATCAGCCCCTCATCCAGGCTGGCCAGGAACCCCAGTGGGGACCCCTACCCTAAAGGGGGTGTGACCAGTCTGCAAACAGCCATCAGCCCCTCACCCAGGCTGGCCAGGCACTCCAGTGGGACCCCGACCCTGATCCGGGACACCCTTCAGGGCAAACCAGCCGGCCCCTACCCGTGCACCAGGTCTCTATCCTATATAATAAAAGGATAATATACAAATTGACCCTAACAGCAGAATGATTGGGAATAATTGGTCACTATGACACACACTGACCACCAGGGGCCAGATGCTCAATGCAGGAGCCGCCCCCTGGTGGTCAGTGTGCTCCCACAGGGGGAGCTCTGCTCAGCCACAAGCCAGGCTGATGGCTGCCAGTACAGTGGTGGTGGTGGTGGGAGCCTCTCCCGCCTCCTCTGCAGCACTAAGGATGTCCAACTGCAGCTTAGGCCTGCTCTCCTCTGGCAAGTGGACCTCCCCTGAGGGCTGCCGGGCTGCCAGAGGGATGTCTGACTGCCAGCTTAGGCCCAATCCCCCAGGGAGCGGGCCTAAGCCAGCAGGTAGATATCCCCTGAGCGGTCCCAGACTGTGAGAGGGCACAGGCTGGACTGTCCCCCCCCCCCCCGAGTGCACAAATTTTTGTGCACCGGGCCTCTAGTAGAAAATAAGTGGCAAACCTCTCTCCAAAAGAAAAACCAGAACTTTGGTTGGTGGGCACACAGTGCAATATATAGATCTATATATGATGGCTGTTTGCACCTATATGATCATATTAAACAAAGTCACCTAACTAAATGTAATTAAAAACAAAGTAAAAAGGAAAGAAAAACATCAAATAAGCTTTGAATGAACTTGAATTGATGAAGCAATCCCCTATTTAGTGAGAGAAATCTTCAGCTCTGAACTTCTCAACTATAGTTGGCAAATGACAGCTTAAATGGTTCGTTAGCAAAATACTATTTACTAAACTTGCTAAACCTGGAAAATTAAAAATAATTTTTGGTCACCCAAACCACCCACCTTGAGCGCCCTAAATGTATACCTGTGTATATACTCTTTGGGTAGGATAAATGATAACTCAGCTCCAGTACACTCTTCCAAGGTGGCCTGTGGAATATGAGACCGAATCAGTGCAGAGAGCTTTTCAACATCACACTGTGGGTCAATCTCCATGACTATGCGATATGTAGCACCTGAGAAAAATCATTTAGAAAAAAAAATCACAGACATGCCAGAAAACTGGGATCTTAAGCCAGCCAAAGGAATGACATTTAAATTTTTAATTTTAATTTTTTTTATTATTATTTTGTTAGCTTTTTATTGCCTTTATCTTTGTTTTCCCTTTTTTTGTTAGTTGCTTTTTTTAGCTTTTTTCTTTGTTCTCCTTTTTTTTGTTTGTTCCTTTATTTCCTACTTCTTTTCACATTATTTTTTCAACCACGTGAGCAGCAGACATGTGAGCGGCACGCAACTGTCCAGGGAGCATCAGCCCCGTGAGCAGCCTGCCTTGAGCCTAAGAGCAGCAGCCTCATGTGGCCTGCCCCTGTCCAAAGAGCAGCAGCTGTGTGAGTGGCCCGCTTCCCCGTCTGAGGAGCAGCAACCACGCGAGCAGTCCGACCTGTCCGAGGAGCAGCAGCTGCACGAGCAGTCTACCTACGTCTGAGGAGCGGCAGCCCTGCGCAGCCAGCCCCCATCTGAGGAGCAGCAGTTGCACAAGCATCTTGCCCTTGTCTAAGCAGCAGCAGCCGCACGAGCAGCCTGCCCAATCCAAGGAGCAGGAGGTCTGTGAGCGGCCTGTCCCCATTTGAGGAAAAGCAGCAGCCCACCCCGGTCAGAGGAGCAGCAGCCACACAAGCAGACCACCCACGTCCGAGGAGTGGCAGCCCTGCGCAGCACGCACCGGTCCGAGGAGCAGAGCCACAACAGCCTGCACCTGCCCGACAAGCAGCAGCCAGGTGAGTGGCACGTCCCTGTTCGAGGAGGAGCAGCCACATGTGCAGCTCATTCCTGTCCAAAGAGCAGCAGCCTCGCAAGCAGCCCACCCCCATCCGAGGAGCAACAGACTTGCAATCAACCTGTCCAAGTCCAAG